GAAATCCCAATAAAAAGAATATGTCTGCAACAAAGAGAAAGTCTCATTTCCCAATACAATTGAAATGCTATTCCGCACAGTGTGCTGGACTTTCTAGGTTACTGTTATGGGTCAAATTGTTCACCCGAAGATGTTAGAATCCTAACCCCCAGTACCTATGAATGTGACCTTATTTGGAAATGGGGTCTCTGACAATGATTAAGTTAAGATGAGGCCATGGTGGGATCAGTAATACAATATGATTGAAGTTTTTATAAAAAGGAGAAATTCAGACATAGAAACAGACACACACAGAGGGAAGACAACATCATGACACAGAGAATACCATCTACCACCTGAGGAGCGAGGTCTGCAACAGAGCCTTCCCTCAGTAGGAACCAAGCCTGCCAATGACCTGATTTTAGATTTCCAGCCTCCAGAACTGAGAGACAATACATTTCTGTTGTGTAAGTCACTCGGTTGGTGGCAGTGTTGAAGCAGCCCCAGGAAACTAATTCAGTTACTAATGTTCTTGAATAATCTTTACACATTTTAAATAAACATGTTCATCATATTATATCAAAGTCTCAGAATGACATAAATAGTATTTCTGATATTCATGTTATCCCAACAGAGAAAGTTAAATACAAGTGGCTGTTTAAGGTTGTGCCCAAAGGACAGCAGGGTTAGAGCAGGTACAGTGGGGACGACGGTGTGAGGCGGTGATGGAGACAGTCCACTCAAAGTGCCTGTGTTGCCGACGCACCTGGGGGCCGGACACCTGTGTCCCATGATTCTGAGGTTATTCACTGTTTATTCATTTCAGGGATAAGTTCCCCAGTAGAATTATTGACATAGGCTTAAAAACATGGAATGATCATATCCATCCTCTTCAAACTTGTCCATGATTTGTGAGAACCCACTATATAGTGAGTCCCTTTCAAATGCTTTAATCTTCTTGTAAGAAAAGGATTATGTAAGTATATGTTACTGTCATCATCATGATGTTGAAATTAGGAGATTAAAAACAAGGAATAATCTTTATCTATAAAAAGGCATTTATCTGCTAGGGATCCTCTAAGATGCCACCAGAACCCATGGGTGACCTCCACACTGTGAAAATGCCAACCACACTTAGCAAGCAATGGTTCCATCATTCATCAAACAGTGTTAACTGTTGACACCTGAACTAAGGCTGGATGTGGCCAGATAAACACACAAGGAACACCAGAACAGAAGAACAGCGTCAACATTTGGGATTTAAATGCTAGAACAATCCCCCCTGTTTGGTAGCCCTTTTCAGGCAGCCTCACACCCCACAGTCCTGCTGGTACCTTCCACCCTCTCAGAAAGTGGAATTAGATCATTCATGTAGATGATTCCTAATTGGGAACAAGCCTCCCCCAAACGTTTCTCATCATGCTGCCTCTAAGGTTCACTTAAATAAATTATGGTCTTCCATTCTTTTAGCCTTATCATTGCTTAATATTTAAACACAGATCCCATCTCTCAACTTTAGCACCATAACACCCAGGGGGAATCTTTTGCCTTTCTCCCTTGATTAGGCAGCTTTTTCAGGAATTTCTTGATGTGTAAATGGATTCCTATTAAAATTCTACCAAGAATTCAGGCCATTCTTTAAACATATTTGCCATTAATTATCAAAATTAACATCTTAATCTAGACACCAATAAGACAAATTATGGAATTTTAAGAGCCAACAAGTTATCCATATTATTAAATAACAAATAATAAGACCAGTAGAAAAGTTGACTCTAGCCCCCATCTGTACCCCACACCCTGACAAAAAACAATCAGTTGCAAAATAGTGGACCACAGGGATAATTAAACACCAAAACCAAAAAACAACAGCATAAAACCAAAAGCAAAACAAAAACATGTTCAAATGCATTAGTAAGCAAAATGTCTCTTCTCATCTAATTACATGCTGTATAATATGCATATAATGATCACTTAATAAGATCACATTGTTAGGTATTGTGCTCAATCTATTGAAAAAGAAACTCAAAGTTTAATATAAAGTTTAGAGTAAAGGAAAGGAAGAAGCTAGAAATCAAAACTCAAAGCATATTTCACACTAGCTTCTTTTAGTTGTGAATTCTCAATGATACTTGATTCTTCTTATGTATCAATAAAATTGGTTTATATAAATATGGTCAGTAGTAAGTAATCCTAGTTAGATTTACAGAAATAATGCAAATACAGTCTTAATTAAAAAATATGAATCAATTCTAATCATGCCTTCCTCACCCAATTAAAACATTTTAAAGTATGTTTACTTTGCATCTGTTGTTTTGTCTCAAATTATCACTTAGGTATTATGGTTTCCCTAGTATAATTAGTTAAAAACATATACAGGAAAGAATTCTACATTAAGGATATGATAACACATAAGCCTTAGGCCTCAGGGTAGAGGGGGAAGTCAAATCTTTAGTTGTTTTTTGAGAACTGTACTGCTTAAGTTGATTCCTACCTGCAGACGTTGTCACGATTTCTGTGGTGTTTCTGAGGCCCATGAAGTCAAACTGATAAAGCCGCCATGATTTCTGATCAGCTGCCTCAACTGAATTTTTTCTCCATCTATAAATCATTTCTTCTTTGGGATAGCCATCTAAAAATATGGAACAGAGATTAGCACTTCAAGATATAAAGTAACAGCCAATAATTCTGATCAATTCATAGGAGTTAAAATTTTACGCCATATTTGTTCTCTAAATTTTCCTCAGAGACACAGAAATTCCAAAAATGAACAGGCAAATGCCACCTAATTCTGCTGCAGAGCTTCACGCTCAGTGAGGTGCTGCACAGCCACAGGCCTGGCTGTAGAACGTCTGGACACAGCAGACAGGGAGCTGTTGTCATCATCGCTTTGACCTTGGTGAGCACAGCTGCACTCGACCTTCACAGTGGAGGTGCTCGTCAACATCCCACTGGCTCCAGACTCCGTCCTTTCCGGGCAAGTCTAACCATGTGGCTCACACCCATCACACTTTCCACCCTTCCCCAGAATTTAGTCCATCCAGATCTCAGGAGAGAAGAGTTTAATAAGGCAGTCTCTCCAGGAGTCCAGAGATCAGTGGATTCTTAGCCCGGCTCTCCTGTCAGTCTCAGTTTTGATCAGTGAGCTTGGGCCTCTTTCAGAGACCCCTTCCCAGGTTGTTATAATTTCAGGCAGCAAGATGCCCAAGGAGTGGTGTTGGCCACCTGCCTAGAGTCTCGGTGTTGTGAGTGGGTGCCCTGCCTTACCATGCTGGTGCTGTCACCAGGGCTCCATGGCTCCCTAAGCCTGCACCAGACACTGGCTGGAAGCCTGCTTCCCTGCCTGCTCCCTACCTAGATTCCCCGCTTCTGAACCTGCTTGGGACAGCAGCTCTCTGCTGGAGCTATCTGACCTGGGAACCTGCTTTCTTTATACTGTTGTATCTCCAGGCTCTGCAGCTGGGTCTGCCCCACAGGGCATTCCTCATTCTCAAGAACAGGTCTAGGTCCCATGTTGTCCCCCAACACACAACAGCATTGGCATCATTAGCTCTTCCAGGCACTGGTGGCATGACTCTGGAAGAAATGTATGCCCCTCTTGATGACTTATTCTGACTACAAAAAGGTCTGCATTGGTGCACACATATTTATGCAAACATATTTATTAATGGTTGAAAATTGCTGATTAAACATTTAGATTAGTTTGCAAAACTCTTAAAGACAATCTGCTTTCTTGATTTTTTTCCCCTTTCTGCCTGATGTTGCTGGCTTGGCTCCCTCATGCAAAAACAAAAATTAGAGCACAGGCATGCCTCTGCTTTCTGATTGTGGATTGCCCTGTGAAATTATTGTCAGCACAGTAGGGATGCTTGCTCTCCCCTAACTTGACATTGCTGAGCTCAAGGCACCCAGACTCAGCCTGAGGCATTTCTGTGAAGTAATCAAACATGTTACTTGGCCATTAGCCACGGTCACAATTGCTTCTTATCCCCATTAGGCTGTCATAATGAGAAGAGATACTCTATACTGTAATTCCTCCTTTGTAACTTTGTTTTTAAAATAACTTTATTGAGATATAATTCATGTACATAAAACTCACACATTTAGTATGGTTTTTAGAATACTCTCAGAGTGGTGCAACCGTCACTATAATCTAACTGTAGAATACTTTCATCACCCTAAAATGACATTCCCCTCCCCACGCCCACCACCTGTCTAACCTAGTCCCAGGCAACCACTAATATAGTTTCCATATCTACAGATTGCCCTATTCTGGACATTTCATATAAATGCAATCATATGGCATGGAATCTTCTGTAACCGGCTTCTTTCACTTAGCATAAAGTGTTCAAGGCTCACTTATATTGTAGCACATATCAGTATGTATTCCTATTAATTGCTAAATGATATTTCATTGCATAGCTATACCATATTTTGTCTATCCACTCATCAGTTGATAAATATTTTGGTTGAGTCCACTTTTTCATTATTAGGAGTAATGTTATGAGCATTTGTGTATAGGATTTTTGTCAGTATAGGTTTCTAGTTCTCTTGGGTATATATGTAGGAGCGGAGTTGTTGAGTCAGGGTAACTCTACGTTTAACATATTGAGGAACTGCCAGACCGTTTTCTAAAGTGGCTGCACCTTAAAATCCTACCAGTAATTTGTGAGGGTTTCAATTTCTCCACAACATTTGTTAGTATCTGTCTTTTTAATTATAACAATCGTACTGGGTATGAAATGGCATCCGGTTGTTTTAATTTGCATTTCCCTAATGACTGATAATGTTGAGCATATTTTCATTCTTTTATTGGCCACATGTATGTATTCTTTGATGAGATGTCTGTTCAAATCTTTTGCTAATTTTTTAATTGATTTGTTTTTATATTGTTGAGTTTTAAGAGTTTTTTGTGTATTTTGGGTACAAGACCTTTATCAGATATATGTTTTACAAATAATTTCTCCCATTTTGTGGCTTATCTTTTTTTGAAGCAATTAGAATTTCTTTTATTATGGTAACATATATATAACATAAAATTCACCATTTTAATGATTTTTAATATACAGTTTGGTGGCATAATGTACATTCACATTGGTGTACAATCATCACCAACATCCATCTCCAGAATCCCTTTTATTTTCAATAGAATTTATTTTTTAGAGGACTTCTATATTCACAGCAAAGTTGAGTGGAGGGCACAGAGACTTCCCTATGCTCCCATCCCCCCCACATGTGTATCCTCCCTTATTATCAACATTCCCCCCCCCCAGAGTGGCACATCAATTACAGCTGATGAACCTACACTGACACATCACCACCACCCAGAATCCACAGTTTATGTGAGGGTTCGCTCTTGGAGTAGTACATTCTGTGGGTCTGGACAAATGTATAATGACATGAATCCACCATTATAGCATCAAATAGAGTAGTTTCACTGCCCTAAAAATACTCTGTATTCTGCCTTTTAATCCTTCCCTCCCCCTCACCCCTAGCAACCACTGATCTTTTTACTGTATCCACAGTTTTGCCTTTTATAGAGTGTCATAAGGTTGGAATCATATAGCATGCAGCTATTTCAGATTTGCTTGTTAGCAGTAAGCATTTAAGTTTCTTCCACATCTGGAAAGCTCACTTCATTTTAGTGCTCAATAATATTCCATTATCTGGAGGTACCTCATTTTATTTATCCATTCACCTACTGAAGAACATCTTGGTTGCTTCCAAGTTGTGGCAATTATGAATAAAGCTGCTATAAACATCCATGTGTAAGCTTTTGTGTGGATGTGGATTACCTTTTGATTCTCTCTTCTTCAATTTTGAAGGAAAGTTTTGCTAGGAAGAGAATTATTTGTTGACAGTTGTCTCTTTCAGCACTTTGAAGATGTCATAGTACTGTTACGGTCTCCAGGGTTTCTCATGAGAAATCTGCATCTTAATCATATCGTGACTCACTTGGAAGTGATACATCACTTTTCTCTTACTGTTCTCAAAATTTTATCCTTGTCTCCACATTGTTAATTTGACTATGATGTGTATAGGTGTTGGTCTCATTAAGTGCATTGAAGTTTGTTGAACTTCTTGGATGTAGAGATTGTTTTTGTCAAATTTGGGGTCATTACTTCCTCAAATAATTTCAAATCTCTTCTCCTCTGAGGCTCCATTACATCTTTGCTGGTACTCTTCATGACGTGCCATGGGTAGGTGAGTTTCTGTACATTTTTCTCCATTCATTTTGCATATAGCTCCCCTCACTGGATAATCATTATTGGTCTATGTTCAAGTTTGCTGATTCTTTCTTCTTTCTGCTCAAATCTGCTGTTATACCTGGCTAGTGATTTTTTTTTTTTATTGCAGACATTGTAATTTTCAACTCCAGAATTTCTATTGGGTTCTTCTTAACAATTTCTATCTTTTCAATGACATCTTTTATTTTGTGAGACCTAGCTGTCATACTTCTCTTTAATTATTTAGACACGGCTCCCTTAAGTATATGAACATTTAAAATAGCTGATTTAAAGTGTTTCTCTAGCACATCCAACATCTGGAATTCTTTAGTGAGAATTTCTATTAAACACTTTTTCCCTGTGTATGTGGCATATTTTCCTGTTTCTTTTGGGGTTTGTAATTTTCTTGTTGGGATCTAGGCATTTTAGATAATACATTATAACAACTCTGATAGCAGATCCCTTTTTCGAGTCCAGAGTTTGTTGTTGTTCCTGGGTTTTTCATTTTTGTTATTTTCCTTCTTGTTACTCATTTGCTAAGTGACTCCCCTGGACTAATTTTATAGATTATGTATTCCCTGCAGTGTGTGGCATCTGAGTTCTCTGCCAGCTTTTTTGTTTGTTGTTGTTGCTAATGCTTTTATGTTCTTATTTTTATTTTTAAGTCTGCCCCCCTTTGCTTCATCTTTGGCTCATTATAATTCAGTGGTTAGCCAGTGATCAGTTACAATATTTCCTTGAATGCCTAGCCTATATTTCTTCCTAACTTTGCCAGTGTCATCATCATCACCATCATCATCATCACTGTCATCATCACAATCACCATCAACATCTCACTGTCCACAAAACTGTAATTATGTTTCAGGAAACAGTACAATGCTTTTCTATATAGTAAATCCCACAACAATCCTAATGACAAAGGCATTTCTGTCCCCATCTTACAGATAAGAAAGCTGAGGCACAGAGATACTATGTGATGTATCTAAGGAAGGGCCACAGTACACCTTAACTAAATTATCAGCTTATATATAATATTCACTGCAGTATCCCATAAAAATCACAATCCTAGCCGTAATCATAGAATCTTCTGGAAATCTGATATATTTCATTTATTTCTCATCTGACCTGTTTTATCTGCCTATGGTGAAAACATGAAAATCATTTTTTTCTTAAATAATACTAAAATATATAAACTTTAGCATTTGAAAGAAGAAAAGTAAAAGCTGTTCAGCCAGCTTATTGAGTAATTCATATATTAAATAAAATATCAATGATTTATGGACTGGACATTTATAATTTCAATGTCTGGTCAAATCTCTCATGAAGATAACAGGTGCTGTCTTCTAGCACAATCAGGCTTAACAGGCAACGTTATTAGCATTTTCTCCTGTAAAAAAAATTCACT